CGTTCAGACTTCATGCCATAATCTCTGCTTCTGCTTTAGCACAGTTTGTCTCCTGCAAATGTTTGTGTCTGGTTGTAATGCAACCTATGTAAATCCCTGCCTTGAAGTGTTTCCAGTCTCTATTGTCACGGGACCCAGTGGGAGAGAGGATGGAAAGTGGAGGAGAGAAAAAAGGAGGGAGAAGCTGAAGGGAGGAAACCACAGCACTGCACACAGGGTCCACATTGTCATGGTACTTCAAACCAAACCCAACCCAACCAAAACCAAAAATAATCAAAAAACCTAAACCAAAAACAACATCAAAACAACCCAAAAAAAACAGGAAAAAAACCCCAAACATAAAACACAAAACACAGCCTAAGTTACTGATACTGTATTACTAATCCCTCAGTAAATGGATGATTTAGGAAACAAACCACATCTGCAGCTGAAGACCCTTGATGCCCATTGTACTTCAGTTGGCTTTCATTGCTTATCCCTGCCTGACCGTCTCACCAGCTTCACTTCTCTGAAGTATGACAAGGCGACATGGACCTTAACACTTCTTTCCTCATTGCAGCTGTCCCACTGCCACTGTGCCCATGGGTGCAGGAGATGTGCTACTTTGGCTCAGGTGGTAGCAGTGGCTGCCACCGACTGGGGGTGGTTGTAATGTTTGTCTCTCCTTCCCTGTCTGCCTTCCTCTCTGCAGCAGGAGTTGGTGCAGCTGCTGTGCCAGGGTGCTCTGAGTCACTGCTGCAGCAAGGCATCCAGGACACTGGAGAGAAACCATCCACAAATGACCCTAAGCTACATGCTTTTTGGAAGTGTTGTGTATCATGAAGGGATGCTTTGGCAGAAACTGCTACCACTGGGCTCCAGTCTCCTCTGGATGCTGTTGTAATATGTATGCTACTAATTGGCTACCGTTTGAAGATGAGAGCTAAGTCTTCTGAAACACAGGTTTTCCTGTTTTGGTGAGGAAATGTCACTGAAGGGGAGTTTGCTTGATGTTTCTCTCCTCTGTAGACTTCACAGAGTTGTTTCACAGTAGTTTATTATCTCTGTGAACTCTTGAGTTTGTTTGTGTCTCTGTGTCTGAAAGCTTAGTTCATTTTAGGACTGTTAAATTCAGGAGCTATTAATTTTCCTATTCAAAAATTCTCTCTGCAAGCCTCTAATTTGAATAATAGAACTTAAAGACACAATTATTTTGTAGTTCATGAGAGGTTTCCTTTTTTGTGGTGTTTTTTTTTTTTTTTAATTAACTATAGCTGTATCTTTCCTGACCTTAGCTGCTTTCCTGTATTCTTTTATTAGGTCTGTGAAGGACATCAGATGCTCAGGCATTCTCTCTGCTTCTGTTTTTGGCATCTGGGATTCTCCCCTCCCAGATCTTCTCTGACAGATCTGTAAATCCTTTTCCTCTTCAAGTGAGTGAAATATCTTTACAGTTGCTGTTTGCAGTTTCATTTTCTACATGTCTGTTCACCTTTCCTCTCCCCATACTTTTGTACCACATAACTTCTGTACTGTCCTCAGCCTTTCTCTGTCTGCTTTGCCCAACAGAAGCTTTCATCTTTTTCATCAATAGTTTGCCATCTGCTGCCTGTACTTCATTGACTTATATTTCTATTGTGCTGAATTTGCTCAGGGAGAGATGCAAGACCTTTTAAACATGAATTGCTGTAACAAGCAGAGTGCAGAGCATTTAAAGCAACTTATTAGATCTACTGTGGTTTGAGGAGGCACAGTGTCAGGTTAGGATTTTTTTTTCCAGGTGTCACAAAACATTGCACGTTTAATCTAGATGATTGTAAGCATTGTTCTTCTGGTGAATTTATGTCTGAAAGCATTTGGTTTATTATATGTCCAGGGTTGCAGTTTGTACTGACTGTTGGTGCTCCAAGACTGTATTGATGCAGCTTGTTAAGGCTGCCCTCAACCCCTCATTTGGAGTAAAAACCTGAAGCAAGGCTCCTGGAGGATGTGATGAGCTTGTCTCACTCCACTGGCTGCTGGGTGGAGAAGGCAGAACAGAAGCAAAGCACATCATGTGGAAGGCAGATTTATAATTTTTGCAGACACAACCTTTCTTCAGCTGAGAAAAGGTAATGGTCTGGCTGCTGTCTTCCAGGATGTGACCTGGGAGAGCTGTAATTATTTTTTCTCCTTGCTACAACCCTTGGATTGGTGGAACAGTTCACATGCTGCTTCTGCTTCATTGCCTTCTTCACAGATGTGCTGAGCGTGGGATTTGCAGATTGAATACACCTCAGATCTTAACAGCCTCATCACTCACTTGCTGACACATCAGCATCAGTTGAACTGCACCTATTGCTCCTTCTGTATTTGGCATCATGATCTTGGGGAGTGGAGTTAATTTGGTACCATATTTCTCTCTATGGGTGAGAAAGAACATGGCAATCTTGTTCAAAATGAAATCAGGTCTAGTCTGTAATGACTTGCAGGGAATAGCAAGATGGTGTGGGAAGCCTGAGGTAAAGATAACAATAGGAAATGTGATGGTGTTTGGTTTTGGCTTTCATTCTTGGGATCACTACTGAAGAAGACTGGAAAAGTAACAAGCAGGGGAGTGGGTAAGGAATGGCTTAATCTCTTTTCAAAGCATGCTGAAAAATACCCTGCATGTGTGATAAGAAATAAATGTTGTGTTACAAGCTATGTATCAACGTGGTGGAACTGGAGACTGGAGAAAGATGAGGAATTCAGCCTTTCACACCTCAGTAAGAAAAGGTTTGTAGTTGCTGTGACCACCATCAATCAGTGCACGCATGAAGAACAGAAAAATAATGACTGAAGAGCTTGTTATTCTAGCAAAGAGAGCTAGAAGTTGGAACTATTCAAATTCAAGCTGAGGATAAGGTGATCATTTTTAGGTCTTAAAGGAATTACCAAGTGGAACAATTAATTAAAGTGTTGTTTAGTTCTCTATTAGGGGATGCTTGAAAACCAAGATGAGATGTTTCTCACAAAAGATATGCTTCAATTAAATCAGAGCTACTAGACTTGAAGCAGGAATTTAAATAGTAAACCCAGAGGCTTGGTTTTTACAGGCTAATAATGAATTAGTGAATCTATGAAAGGGAGCCTGCTACCACTGCCTGACAGTTGTTAGAGGAACATTCATAAAGCATAAAAGCTCCTTTTTCCAGATCCCTGTTTTTATTTAAGTGCATTTGCACAGAACTGAAACACTTTTTTGAAGTTAGTTGTAACAAGTAAACAGCTTAGTACTAACTGGCTGTGCCAGCAAAAGGCCTAGAACTTCTGTAAACAAAAAGACTTAAAAGAAAATACACATCTGCACCACCCATTTGAAGTGGTTGTTGTGCTGTTTCAGCACCCTGTTCCCTTGATCCTGCCATCATCACCTGTCTTATGGGGCTGCCCCACTGTCCTGGAGTAAGAGGGACTCTCCCAAAGAAGAGATCAGCGCTCTGGGGGACTTGGCCATGAATATAGTTGAAGGCCACCCAAGAAGGCTGTGTACCTGCAGGTGCACAGAGGAGCTGGAGTGTTTTGTTGTCTTGGGATATTACAGAAAATAATAACTCTCAGAAGATCTTCAAATTACTGCAAAGAATGCTTCAGGCACACAGTATTTCAAACGCAGGGATCTGGCCTCATGCAGCAATGATTCCTGCATCTGTATGGGATGAAAAGCCAGGGGAAATGGGGAAGGATTTGCAGCTGCAACCAGACAGCCCTGCAGCAGATCACCAAGACAAGTGTGGCCTTTGCCAGTGCATTTCAAGGGTTTTGAGAGACTGCAACAGAAAAAGCTAATGTCTCCTAGATACTTCAGGTATTTGAGTCAGTGTAAAAAAAAGAAGTTAATTCTATCCTATTGATTTTTAAATGGAGACAATAGATTTCTTGTGCTTGACTGAGAGGCAGTGATGGTAATATATCACTGATTTACTTTAACTTTATTTGCTTCATAGGGAGAGTTTGACTAAAAGGTGAGGTTTTTATAGATTTGCATGCTTCAAGATAATCCATTCTGAATGTACTATCATTCTGCTGCCTTGCAAATCTTGCCAACATCTTTGCTATGGAGTTGAAATTTATTCTAAGATTTGACTGTGTAACAGAACAAACCAATAATTTAGCTTAACTGAAAAAGAATGGATTTAAGCTCTTAAAAGTGTACTTTGTAGGACACAAATTTATTCCTGTATACTTAATCCACACAGAAGCATACAGTGCTGTGTGTTCATGTAAATAGTGATGCCAGGGTAAAATCCACCTAGTTTTCCAGTGCTGAATTGAGTGCAGAATAGGCACAGCTATAAAATTTACAGTAGTTACATTGTATAAGAAATAAGAATAATTATGATTACGATTTAATTAAAGATAAATGAGAATGTATTCATATGGAACATGCTGTTTATTGCATTTTGTAAAAAACCTTGTATTTCTGTCCGGATTTAATCTCTTCTAGAACTCTGTTAATGAGAGAAAGAGATCACCTATTTTAATTTATTTGTATCAGCACATAATCAAAACACTCCTCTTCCAAGCAGACAAGGGAATACACCAGTGCAGAACACAAGGCATTGCTGCATCAATGTAGATGGGTCAGTGAGTTTAGAACTTTTTTACATAGTCAGTGAAATCTGTAGTCTATTCAGATACTTACTTCCTCTACTTCCCAGCAGGGGTGTGGTGGTTTTAAGTTTGTTTGGTTTCATTTGGTTTCTTTCTGGGAGGTTATTGTTTGCTTTTTGCTGAGGGAATGTTTTGAATTTAAAGAAAACAGAAATGCAGGAATGGACATATTTCCTTAAAGTTGCTGTAGTAGAAATTGGCTCACTGTGCTTTTTAATGAATCATTACCATCATGATTAGTAAGCTCATATGCTGTGGGTGATATTCCCGCACTTCTGTGACTGTCACTCGATTACCCAGTATTGAATGAATCTAGATATGCTTGTTTTCTGAAAGAAATCTCCTATAATCTGCAATTTCAAACAGTTCTGATTACCTTTCTACAGCTTGGAGGTTGCCAGCCTGACACGGGCAGATGCCGATCTGGAGGCATATCGAACGCAGATATGCAAAGAAGTGATTGCTATGATGATGAAGAACATGGTCTTAAGTCACAGCCTCTTTCCTCATGTGGAGAAGAAGATGAGTTCAATTTTCAAAAAGCAGTTTCTTGCAATGGAGAAGGAGATTCAAGAGGAATATGAAAGGAAGATGGTGGCTTTAACGGCTGAGTGTAACCTAGAAACCAGAAAGAAAATGGAGGCTCAGTGCCAAAAAGCTAGAGCTGTAAATGAAGAGGCTGAGGAATTAATGAAGAAAATGAATGAAAAGGTGAACCTGCTACAAAATCAAACGTTTTGCATGATGCATAGTTTTATATAGATGGTTTCTCTTTTAGACTAGAGTGGCTGAGTTGTCCTCTTCTAAGAAAAAAGAGGAAAACTGTTCAATTTAAATGTGTTCAAACATTCAGATGCCATAATTAGGGTAGTTGTTATTGAGAAACTGTTTTTTACTTAACCAGAAAACGAATGTATCTCAAGAGCATCTGTGACACCTGAAAACAAAAGACTGTAATTACCATGATCTTTCTATAGTCACTTGAACCCTTGCAAAGTGGTGTATTTTTATTTACTGTATTTTACTGCAATGGTTCCTAAGAACTCCAGCCAGACACTGTATATAGTATTTTGCACATTCGGAGCAGAACTCTCTGCATCATAAACCTTCCAATCTAGATAAAAAGCCTCCAATATTTATATTCTTATTTTGAAGAAAATGAGAATGTAAGTGCAACCAAAGGTTGATTTCCTTCAAGCTGAAGGCAAGCAAAACCATTTGTATTTTAGGCAGAGCAAGAAGTGGAGTTCTGTTGGAAATAGCTTCTAGATAACAGTGAGATAAATATTTAAGGCAGAGTATGATTCCTAGCAAGATTAGAGTCTCTCTTTAAGTAAAAGCTTAGTGCTTTTATGTGTCACTTTGTCCTGGGTTCAGCAGTAGCAGTCATTTTTCCCCTTCTTGGTAGCTGGTGCAGTGCAATGTTTTGACTTTCAGCTCGGGAACAGAGCTGATAACAAGCGATGTTTTGGTTTGGCCAAGGACTTTGTGAGCCTCATGCTCTGCCAGGGAGGAGGGGAAGCCGGGAGGAAGCAGAGACAGGACACCTGACCCAAACTGACCAAAGAGGTATTCCATACCACAGCACGTCATGCCCAGGATGTAACTGGGAGTTAGCCGGAAGGGCTGGGAGACTGCAGGGTTGGAGGAGGTATCGGTCGGTGCTTGGTCGGGCTGGGGGGGGCGAGTGATCGGTCAGTGGTGGTGAGATGATGTATTCTCTTCCCTTGTTATTTCCTTTATCATTATTATCATTGGTGGTAGCAGTAGTGATCTGTGTTATACCTTAGTTACTAAACTGTTCTTATCTCAACCTGTGGGAGTTGCATTCTTTTTGATTTTCCTCTCCGTCCCTCCGAGAGCAGGGGGAGGGCAAGAAAAGGGGGGGAAGTGAGCGAACGAATTACCTGACTGGGTTTAAACCACGACAGTTACTTTTTGGCGCCCAACGTGGGGCGCCAAAAAGAACTGTCGTGGTTTAAACCCAGTCAGGTAGCTTGTTCACTCACTCCCAGTGAGTGGTTTCGAGGTCCGTGTCCGTCTCCCCCCCCTGCTTCCCCGCACCGGGGCTCTCCCCTTCCCCGCACTCGAGATTTCTCTCTGAAGGGGTAAGTGTCATTGCTCAGAGTTGTAGGTAGTCTGTGTGGAAACAGAGCTGTACGGATACATGAGTATATGAGTATAATCCCTTAGATCAGTATATTGCTTACTTCCGTGTGCTCTGTTTGCAGACAGTACTTAAATTTTTGGCCTTCTGTTTTGATTTAGTTTCTTTTAAACAGTGGTTTTATTTGCATATCATAATTGTTAAGACCTCTATGACAATTCATGATTGAAGTTTTGACAAAAGATTTTTGCCGAGTATGTTGAAGCTCTCAGGAAGTACTTTGCTTTATAAGGCTGCTGCGTGGACAACGTTGATGGTGCAAGGCTAGTGACCCAGTTGAATTTCTTTGACATTTCCAGGTGAATTTTAACTTCTGACTGTAGAGAGCTTTCAAGTAGGATATGAGCATAGAAAAGTCAAAGGAGACAGCAAGGAAAGGATAGTCATGTACATCTTTTTAAGGATGAGGTAAATTGTATTGTGCAGAAGTCCTTTTCCTTCTGTTGATTGTAGAAGGAACTTAGACTAGATGTCTAACACCTTGCAGAGATTATAGAATCCTAGAATAGCTTCAGTTGGAAGGGACTTTAATTATCAAGTTCCAGTCCCTCTGCCATGGGCAGGGACAACTTCTACTAGACCAGGTTGCTTAAAACTGCGTCCAGCCTGGCTTTGAACACTTCCTGATAAATCCTTTGAACACTACCTGATAAAGTCTGCAGAGAAGGGACTGACTATGGAAACTCACAATAAATACTTTCTCAGCAAAGTGGCTTTTGTTTTGCACAAAATACACTGGTATTGGTTCAGTCCCAATTCAGTTCCAGTGTTTTATATTGGAAATCCTGTATGGTAGGAATTAAAGAATTGACGCCAGTCCAGTACTTTTCCTGATGTATTTATCTTATACTGTTCTCTTGCTGTTCACTTTCCTGTCTGTGAAAGGACCTGGGATTGTACTTGCCAGGGAAAGCTGTCCAAAAGGACATACCAGAGCACTAGGCTTGGCCCAGCGGTCATGGCAGTGGGTGTATTATCATCCAAGAGATAGCAGTGAAAAACAGCTGGAGCAATAACCTCCTCCCCTCTCAGCCAGAACACAGAGTGTATATTCCCTGCCTTTTTGATTAATTATTTGCTGTCTCCAGTGTGTTTCTTGGGAATGAGGGGTGAGGTGCAGAGGACAGTTGTCCCCAGATAAATAGCATTAAATTTAGAGCAAGACTAACACAGCTACCATTAGGTAGCTCTGCTGGCATAAGCAGCATTCTTTGCTCTGTGGAACATGTGCATTTTGATTCTGTAATGAGTTTATACCATCTGAGATTAAAACTATGAATGTGTAAGTATTACTGGAGAGTTGCAAGAAAGTATTTATTGCAAAAAAGCTTTTAAATTAATTGCCATTTAATTATACTCCATTGTTGTAACTCTAACATGATGCTCTTGCATTAATCTGTAGAAATCAATAGATAAAGTAGGTCATCAATAGGAAGAACTTTTAGAGATTTGTCATAGAATATTTTTTTCTAATTTGTACTGTTTTTAAATTGTATGCTTATTCTTGCATCATTGTTCTGACTTATTTGAGTCTATTCAGTTTTAATAGGATTTCAGGATTGATGAAACCTAAGAAATTGATTTCATGTATATAGTCTTTGTGTTGAATTTCATGCCATTTTGTATAATTTATTTTAAATAATGCTTCCAAATTTTAAAAATACTTCGTTATGCCTTTCAGCCATTATCTGGATTAGAGATTGACAGCTGTACAACCTCTGTCATTCCAAACAGATGAAAACCATGTATTAGTATAGCCTTCATTTATAATAATTAGCATTAGCCTTCATTTAAGCCTGAAGTTATGGTAATCAGGGTATGAGTAAAATATGTATTAGCTGGTAGCGCTAATAATTTAAAATATGTTGAATGCTGAAAATCACTTTGGATCTATTTATTTCTCTCTTCTCTGCAGCCTGCTGTAGAATACAGAAGTCTTCTGGATAGACTTCACACACTGGAGCAGGACCATGTGAAGAGGCTCCTTCTGGTAAAGCAGGAGGAATATTTTGCAAAGGCTTATAGAGAGCTGGCTGTTTGCCAGAGAAAGGAGCTCCATAATATCTTTTTTACACAGATAACAAATGCTACTTTCAAGGGAGAACTGAAGTTGGAAGCAGCTAAAACGTTAGTGGAAGGTTACTCTAAAATACAGGTAATAGGATAATTCCATTCCTAACCTAATGACAGAATACAAACACACAGTAATTTTTGAGAAGTGTTTCAGAAAATATATTTCAGGGTGAATTTTATCACTTTTATAGCTGATTTTTTTTAGGAAGAATATTAAAATGTATAATGCAATTATTATACACATCTAGAAATCTATATAACTGTACATTGATGCATGTGAACAACATTTTTCTAAACCAGTGAGTTATACATGTTTGCCACAACAGTATGTGCTTGGTGCTGACTTCTGTTTTCATGGGTAATATTTCCTAAGCATGTGGGCCACTGTCAGAGGTGGAGCACTTGTGCAAAAGACACTTGAGCAGCCAGCAGAAGACAGAGCAAGTAAAAGAAGTTTTCACAGTGTTTCAGCTGCTCAGGCATAGGTCACCTAAGTGTCAGACTTTTTCTTGGCTAGCTGATGCTGGAAGAATACCTGCTGTAGAGCATTGTGTGCGTACCGCTGGTATCTGCCAGACTCATCTGTATGTATCTAAACCTTTGCTGTTCCCATCTGTTGGAAGGAGGAAATTTCTAAGCCAGCCTGTGTTCAGCAGGCTTGGCTTTTGCTGCTCTTATACTAGACACACGTGAAAAGCTTTTTCTTGGCTTTGAAGTCAGTTTAAACACCTTTGAAAATGTTACCCTTTATTTAGTCATAAAATGCATTGTAAAGAAAAAAAGGAATTTAAAAAAAAGAGGCATGGTGCCACTTACTGCTGTTACTGAACACATGCTCTCTTCACGTCTCAGTTGAAGACTGTTTAGCCTGTGGATAACTTTAAGCAGGAGCAGTTCTACTAACACTGGTAGGGCTGCATGTGTATTTAATTGTGGGTACCTGATCAAATGACCTGTTAAATCAGGGCTCTTGGGAGGTGCACTGACTATTCAAGAGAGTACACAGTACTGAGGTATTCAGGCCAGAAGCTCAGCACATTATTATTTATTTTGTTTTGTTAAAATCACTGTAGTAATTTGACGTGTTCATTAGAGACAAGCTGATATAAGTTTATTGCTTTTCGCTTCTAAGAGCTTTTTAACTTTACCCTGTTAACGAATAAATCTGGTCTGTTACCCACAGGTATTGGCTGAAATTTACATCTAATTGAATACATTTGTTCACAATCTTTCCTGTAGGGAGACATTGAAGAGCTAATGGATTTTTTGCAAGCTAGCAAGAAATATCATCTGAATAGAAGATTTGCTTACAGAGAGTATCTCATAAGTAAGATACAGTTAAGGGATTCTCAAGCCTCTGCTCTTATAAATGCAGCAGCAGCCCAGATACCAAGTCTCATTAATAAGATGGAAAGGTAAATATCTCAATTGTTTTCTTGGCAGCCATTTGGCTATATTATGTCACGGGCAATAAAATACTCTTCAAAAGTCTTTTTGTTTGTGTTACCTAGCAGGAAAGGTGCATAAAACTGTTATCCTTTAAGTTAATTCTAAGAAAATATTTTGTAACTGATGACTTAGTTAATATCCCAGCAGACATTAAGGTGAAAGGTGAGGCTTTCTTGTTGGTGTCTACTTCATACAACACAGAGATGAATTGCTGGGAACCATGTAATTCTAAATTCAGCAGGAGGCAGACTCGTGTGAGATTCTCAGTATCTTTGTACATCCATTATTCATGTAAACGGTCCACAGTCATTTTAGATGTCCTACCAGAGAACACTGCAACATGTACTAGTTAAGAGCAGTTGTCTGGTTTGTTTACATATGAGTATATGAATTTAAAGAGTAAAGAACAATTCTGGTTCACTTACGATTGAATATGTTTGAGGAACTGGATATGTGGTCTCAAACTGGACAGCATGAATATTTTCTAAAGTAAGTTGGCTACACTTACGAATAGCATAACTGGGGAGGATCTTGAGTAGCAAAAACTGCACATGGCAGTGTGGATTACTGAGAGAGATCTCTTGCTGCTGCCCAGTGAACTGTGGTGTATCTTAAGTCTGGCATAAGGAGAGATTACTGAGAAGCATGCCAGTGCAGTAAAATACATTAGTGGGCAGGAAAACAATTTATCACTGCTGCTGTTAATCCTGTGTATGCAGCTTTATTTGTATATTTTAGATGTTTATATTGGTGTCAGTCACTAACAACATATGGAACATGCAGTAAGAGGACATGTGTAAATATCAGTCTTTACATTGTGTTTCTTTTCTCATAGTGTTGACTTACTTGAAAGGAATTTAATATTAGGGAGCAGGAAGACTGTTAAAAGCTACCAAAGACTGCATCTGTTAATACAATAAAGTCATTTAACTGGGTTTTTTCTAACTTTTCCTTGCTGATCTTTTTGCTTGTCCAGTGTGCTGCCTCTTTGGAATCACACCCTAAGATTAGCCTCAAGATTCATTGATCAGAGAGAGGTTCTTCCAGTATGCTTGCTCTGCTCTGCCTGTTTTGCTGACATCGGCAGCTGTATGGGTCAAAGACAAAAATAAGTCTTGTCATAGGAAATGTAATTGAGACACGTCTTTCACATAGAGTTCTGTTTCACCAGTTCATGCCTCTCTTTGGAATCGATGAAGAGAAATGGTCCGAGACATTTTCTCAAACGTTACAGTTATGTGAAAAGCCTTCATTAGAAACTGTCACGTGTATGACCACTGGATCCATGGATTAAATCATTGCAGTGAACACCAAGAATTTCTTAAGCTGGAAAAGCAGGTTTCACTTATTGTTTGGTACTTGCTATTGCACCTAACAGTCACAAAACAGATCAACTACAAAACAGAGAGGAAACATGTAGTATTAGTAATGCAAGACTTCATAGATCCCATCAAAAAAAATATACTAAGGCCCCCCTGCCCCCAAATCGTGCTATCCAAAAACTTTCAAAACCACCAATGTCATTACCAAAATGAAAAAATAATTCTTCCCTATTAAACTTCTCAGAGTATGCAATGGTCGTAATACTCTGCGGACAAAGGAAATGTGCCCATACTTGGAGACAGCATTTGGAGAGAAGTGATCTTATCTGGCTTTCTGGGACTAGAATTAGTTATTTTCATGTAACTTCTCACACCTGTTGTTGCAGGAATTCCTTTCAGGCAAATATTTGCCATAATGTTATGTTATTACTCATTCTTTAGATGTTGAGACTATAAAACTCCAAAATGTAGTATTTCAGATTATTTTCTAGGTTTTTGGTTTGTTTGTTTGTTTGTTTTTTCTACAGGTATACTGAAATATCCAAGTATAAACCCCAAGAAAGGCTTGCATTTCAGTTTCTAATTATAAAAGATTGAGAGAATATTTACAAATAAGAGCATTAAAATTTGGGCAGTAACAGCATAATATCCTCTTACTTTAGCATTGAATCCGCTTGTCTAAATATAGATACTGGTCTGTCTTAATCTGTTGCATCCAGCTTTAATAGTGTGCTTTAAACTCACTGTTATAAATGGGATTTTGAAATGCAGAACTGTGTGTATGGAGAAGAGACACTAAGAAGAGATGTAGATTACATATACCACAGATAAATAGTTTCAGGGATACATAAACCAGCAGATAAATGATGAGGGGAGAGGTCTTTTAAAAATGGAACTTAATAGGATATTTAAGATTTATCAGAGAGCAAGGCAATTTCAGGTTAAGAAGATTCTGTGTGGTCAGAAATAAGTGTTATAAAAAGTAAAATAAACCCAAACCAATTCTAGGGAGAGTTTTTAAATGAAATAGAGCAGCCAGAATTTTCAAGCTGGGCTTTTAAATATAGTATTTAAATAAAATGACCCATTAGTCAGGACTGCTTGTGGGTATTCAGTGTCTTTTAAAAATCAAGTTTGTAGACTGCAGTGCCAAAAAGCAGGAAAGCAAGTTTTAAAATGTAATCCGTAATGATAGATTTCAGGGATGTCTACCTAGGTTCTTCATGGGCAATACCTGGGGCAGGATTCATCCTGGGTTGTTCCGGCAATCAAGAGAGGTTGAAATGCTCAATGTTTTTGAACTACAGCAGCTGTAACTGTTGCATTATTCTTTTGCCAGTACCTGCTTGTTCACAGGAACTTTCCTTCCTTCTTTGGTGCCTTAAAAACTGAATCTAGTTCTTGTGACTCACTAGGTACAAACAGCTCAAACTCCTGTGTAAATGTCTCCAAACATTTTAGTTTTTATAAGACCTCAAGAATATCTTGTGTATTGTATTTTTAAAGTGGTCAGTCGACTTCCTTAAAAGGTCAAAGCAAAATGTCTCATATTGGGCTTGTTCTTCTGGATAATCTCCCTTTATATGGACCTTGCTATAAGCAAAGAAGTTTTCTGAACAGTGTCCTGCTGCACTTTTCAGGAAGCTGGTGTTGGGAAAGTTAATTCCTCCAGCAGTAATGCATCAGTATAAAGTTACCTAATAAACTTTGAATTCATTTTCTGCTCATAGTGCTTGCTGTGTAGGGCATTTGTTGCTCTGAAGTATTTGCATGAATTCTGATCTAGCAAGATACCAGTTCAGCAGGTGAAATTCTGAAGTAGCTGAAGTGGAGTAGCATGGGCACTCCTACAGGTTCTCTCTCTACAGTTTCTGTATAGTATTGTGATTGAACCTCCACATATATCCAGTTTGGTACAGCTTTTCTGCTTCACATCTATTTCCCTTTTGCTTTAGTGATACTCCCATGCCTTCTCTTACCTTTCACAAAACAATTTTCCTTTGCTGGGGTCCACCATCCCTTACATAGTTCTCTTGTGGCATCAGCTACAAACTACTACTGCTTTTAGTGCCATCACTCCATATTTTCTCCTAAATTTGTTAGCATCTGTTTTGTATAGTGAAGTGAAGGTCTGCCTCTGATTGACCTACAGCTGCTGTTGGGCACTCACTTCATCTCTGTGCCTTCCTTGGTGCTCACTGCATTTGGGAGCATCTCCCTGTAAATATCCCTGTCATTGCTGCAGTATTCTCCTTGATTAAAATTCTCCTTGTTCAAAGACATTAAACATTTGCCTACACATCTCCTCAATGGTTAGATGTCTGGTATGCTGAGACCAAGCAGTTTATCATACAGTCCATACTGTCTCGTTATCTGTCTCCTTTTATTTTGTGTTTCAGTTCAGAGTCCTTTGGGAACAGGATGTCTTTTACTTGTAATACTGCAATTGTTTTTATACTGTGTTTATATGAAACCAAAAATTAAGATCTTTTGCCAGGATTGATCCTTCTAGTAATTTCCGTAATACTGATTAATACAAGTTGCCACATAAACTCACATAGACTTCTGTGGTGGAAGGCATTTTGCCCATTATTTTTGTTATCTGGGATTCCAAATAAATAGGTAGCTGGGTTTTACAATACTGTGTCGCCTACAGTTTGAGCTGTGGACATACTGGATCTCTAAATAAATCAACAGCCTGAAACTGAAGTAATGTAGATTCCTGTTTTTCCTAAAAATAGGTAGGTATATATCATTTCCCAGTCATTCTGTGTTGCATGGTTTTTCTTAAAACTCTCATTTGCTAGGTAGTTCCAGCACATCTATGTTTTTCTATGAAGACCCTTTTCACTACTTTGGATAGGGATTTTAATTTGATTAGGCAAGACTAGGTTTATTTCCTCAGTACAAGACAGGATGAAGGTGTTAAAAAGATCTTGGTTATTACTTGACTCACTTTGTCACTGCAATAAATCTTCATTTTATTCATTGTTTTGCCTTGGGTTTGATCAAAAAGGGGGGCAAGACTTAGCAAATGTGAACTGGAATCTTGGTGCTGTTGGGTTTTTTTTTGACATAACACTGAAATTTAGTATTGACTGCTTCAAGGAAACAATTACTTTGCCGAAAGGTCCAGGAATGATGCCTGTTGCATTGCTTTCAAGGTATGGAGAGGTACTTTAATCCTCTTTGCAGAAGATTAAAGAAATATGATAGCTAAGCAGCAGAAAAGCTCTGCAAAGGGAAGCCACCTCTGTCGATACAACTGTGTGATACAGCAGACCTGAGTTTCTGTCTAGTGCATTCCTTATGTAGGGGATGACGCTTTGTGGCTCATCAGATACTTGTGGATACTTAAGCAGTAGGTGGAGAGATGTGAATTCATCTGAATCCAGGCGCTGTGTGTAATGTTCGTATCTTCTGAAAAAAAGGGGATTTAAAAAAATAAACCAGAAGTTGTTTGGATAACATTCAAAGTTTAGGTCCAGAACTGATGCTTTCTTCTCAGAGTTCCATGTTGACAATTTTCAGCCCCACATTTTAGAAGTCCAATGTGCTCAATTTTATAAATTAGAACTCACAAATGTCCAACAGTCTGGTCTGAATTAAGATGTCTGAGGAATTTATGGTGTAAGTAGCAGGTAATTCTTGAAATTCAATTTGAGTTTGTGGAGATTGAAACTTTTGTAACCTAATCTTGCTTACTCTTTGAAATTAAATACTGTAGCAACTGGAGGTAGACCAGAGATTATTTTATTTCACTATTATTTTGAAATCTTTATAATTATGATGATGATGTATTAATAGGAAATCTGAATATAAATCTTTTGATGGATATGATTGCTTTGATATCTTTAAAATAATTTTTAATTGTTTTTCCCTGATTAGATTACATCCTTTAAAGAAAAATTGTTCCTAATGAGGAGAAGGAGTTATAAAAAACATCTGGAATTGCATTCCAGGGGCATTAAATGAAAAATGTAAATATTATGAATAATAGATAAGGTTTAAAATGTCTCATTTGAATATTGCTTATATTACTGACTGGTAATGATTTTGCATTTGCCTTCCCTTCCTTCCTTTTCCCTGTTCCTTCTTCATACACTTTCATTCTACCTTCAAAAACTGTCTCAAACCTACGCTAATCATTGAGATTATCTTTCTATTATCCACTTGCTTCTTTGATTCCCCCCAGGTATCACTGCTGAAAGAACAAGGATCATTCTGTGTAGCTACTGTGTTGAACCTTATTATGGTACTAATTGCCTCAAATATCCTTTTCCTCTTAAGAATTTGGGATAACAGGCTTCAAACACTGTTATTACAGGGCAGGTCATCTACCTGAATGTCATTTGGGGATGCTGCTGGACCGAGCTGAGGCTGAAATTAATTCTGTTAAACAGAAATTCGATCATGATTTAAAACAAGAAAAGCAAAAGCTTCGCCAGAAACTCGTTACAAGGCGAAGGCGGGAAGTTCTGCAAAAGGTAATTTCAGTATATTTATTTTGACAGGACTTGCCATGAATTAAAAATGGAATGAATTGCAAAATAAAGTGTAATTCTTATAACAGGGGTCAGCGCTGCCAGGAGCATGGATGAAAATAAGTGTCCATTGGTTTTAGCTCTGTACCACCATATGCTGTTGTAATCATGTAGTAATTAATGGCTGTTCTTTTAGAAAAATATACAAGAAAGTAATAGAACTGGAGAAACTTGTGAAGCCCCTGTACTTAGTCTAACCTGTCCAGGGGGGTTGTGACAAGCCTCTGGCATGTGCAGACAGGCAAAAGCCAGATGAGGTTCTGGAGCTGGTGAGAGAGATGACACAGATCTGTGACAGTAGTAATTTTCTGTGGTTTTCCTGGTTATGTGTGTCTTAAATGTCTTCTACAGCACAGTTAAAATTCAGCTACAAAACTATTTAAAATATGTTGTACCTGTGGTTGCTTGTGTAGGACTCATGTCACCTCACCTCAGATATCTAGAAATCAAGGCTAACTCCAAGAGCTCCAAACCACCTCTTAATGGCAGAGGTCTTGCAAATGATCTGAGATAAATGAAAGGGAGTTTGCTATCCAAAAGTCCCTATATTTCTCTGCCTAAAAGGTGAAGAAAAATTTTTCTTGGATTAGGTGATACTTCTTTAGATGACCAAAGTTAGGTGAGACTGATTTTATCTTTTGCAGGGTATGTGTTTCAGTGTTTTCTGCTCTTTAACGGTTACCAGTGCAAAGACAGCAGGTATAAAGATGGGCACTTCATTTGTTATATTTTTACTGAGTATAGGTAGCTTTGGTTTAGCTTTCCAATTAATATTTGGGTTTTTTCCCTGCTCCTTCTTTTTCTTCCTTGGTATTTGATGCAGATTCACTTCTGGAATGCTGCCAGATTGTTGCAGTTCAGCCAGTTTGAATTATATCAGATAAATATAGATCCATGTATTTATTTAGGTGTCAGCCCTTTTATTGAGCAGCCATCCAGATTATCACAGGTCTGTGTTAGCCTTTCTGTCTAGCAGTCTGACATCACAGGCCTGCTAGATGCACGCAAAGCCATCATGTTGAGCGCTGGGTAAGTCTCTGAACACTGAAAAGTAGTTTCAAGAACACTGAAAGACCAAAGTACAAGATTTTGCGTTGCTATGAATACATGCTTAAAGAGGTAGAAATTGAGATGTTCCTTCTCTTAACCTTGTTCTTCCTTTTTGCAAATGAATTAGCAGAAAGAGCATCGGAAGGAGCAGCTGTCCCTTGGAGAGACCTTCAAAACTACTAAGGAGGTCACTCACTACCTGGGCCACTGGAAAAATCTTTTGAGTGATCACACCATTGAATTTGAAGAGCTTACTGAAAAACTTGACAATGAGGCCAGTGAAGAGCTGAAAGAGCTTGTGTTTGGTTTAACAGAGAAAGCCATTGAAGAGCTTAAACGTGTTCAGTGTGGAGTATTTGTGCAAGAACTGGTAAAGCTCAGTGTGCCAAAGGTGTTCCTGCTAGAAGCTGTAGAGGAGCATAAAAAAGAGATGGCTGATAAACATGAGCAGCTTGAAAGGGAAGAGCATGAAAAGAGCACAGCCACTGAAGAGCTGCTTCAGCTCACCAGGCAGAAGCTAAGCCAAGAGCTAGAAACAAGCATTTTGGAACAAAAAAAAATAAGGAGCTGGGAACAATCAGTATTCATGCAAGTATCTCTCTGCATCTTTTCTTAGTTATTATTTCAAACAGAGATGAACTAGGACTTTTCAGATGTGTCCAGGTATGATTCCTAGTGGTCAGTTCTGTCGGGCACTTGAGAATTGATTTGTTTGCAAGCGCTCAGCCCCTGTGGCACTTGTGGGTGAGCCCTGCAATGGAAATCCTGGGAAACAGCTGTTCTAAAACCAAAATCATGGAATGGTATTTTTGTACTCATGTTCACTCTGTGATGGGTTTCACTTGCACATCTTTCATTATTATTCTTAGTCTGTTCTCAAAGGTCCAGCACTTTGGAAATGTCATTTAGTATGTCAGGCCTACTTAGCCCCATGTCCAGTTTTGATATATTCCTTGCAGACACAAGTCAAGCCTTACTCATCAGGTTCATTTTGAGCTCTGCCACAGTATTTCCACATATTCCATAAATACACAGTGCAGCAGTCTCACCTTTCCAGCTCATGGGCACCATGCATCAGACTTGGCCAGTCTGGCCTGCTGCTAAAGTGCCCTTGGCACTGAACCCCAAGTCAGAGAGGCATCATGACACAGGCCGTGTTGTAGAGAGATTTGTTGGCCCCAGCTGTACTTTATGGCTGTTGCTACCTGCTCTGATATGACCCCAGGGATTTGGGAAGATGGGCAGTGACTTTGCCACCCTTGGGAGACCTTGTGCAGAGAGAGACGATGGCTGCAGCCAAGAGTCATCGTCCATGGTGCCTCTCAGACTGGGTAGCAAGGCCCTGAGAGATTGACACTGCTCAGCAGCATTTCTCCTTAGTTTTAGAATATATTTATGACTAGTTGTTTTGTTGCCTGAATATTTACAGTACTACAGTTCCTATACAGTGGCTGTTTAAACAGGCATTGCTTGAGACATAGGAACATGAAAAAATAGTCTGCTGGCAAAATTGCAGCTTTGGGGGAAGCAACTGGAACAGGGAAAACTGTATTAGCCTGTCTGCCCTTAATACAATGCAAACTGAGCATGAGAGATTGAACCAGGGTTAGAGGGGAGAGAAGCATTAGCAGAAGTTTCTCCTTCATACCTTTTCTTTAAAGCAGAGCAGATCTGCATGGGCAGTTTTGTCCAGACAACATCTTTATGTTTGCCTGCTACAAAATTTAAAACCTTATAATGGAAAGATAAAAAGAAATCTTGCCCATTACATTTGCTTTGCTAAAGAAGAAAAATCCATTTGTGTTTTCTCCTGGTTCTAATTTGAAGCACTTTATGTTTTGTTCAGCATTTAAAATACTTTTCTGTAAGCCATTTCAATGTATTTTCTAGCTATCTTATCTCTTTATTTGCATTGCTGAAAGAAGACCTGCAGGACCAGGGAAGTAGATTGTATGACCCAGTAGGTATTTCCTGTTACTAACTTACAATTAAAGATAATTGTGTTCCAGCCTGCAGTGTCACCACTTGTATGCTATCTTTATTACAGCTACGGTAAGATGTTTGGGGTATTTTTCCCAGTAAAATACTGGGAAATAGATCCAAAAAATGCACAACTGTCCTACCAAAAGCCCCTTAAAATCTGTCACTGTCTTTATGTTCAGTCTGTCAGTTTTGGTATTTTGATGACAGATGCCAGCTGTCATGTTCATGTTCTCATCTGATATCTGGTTTTCACAAAAAATTACTTTGAATGATAGCGTTTCATTTCTATTGCTTATCAAAGGACCGTGAGTTAGTCCAAAATATGTATATGAAGATCATTAATGTTTAAAGTCCTTTTTAAACGTAGACATGACAAAACTGATTTTCTGTGTTAGCTTTGAATCTCAGTCTATATATCTGTCTGTACATATGGATACATAGTGTGGATTTTCTTCTGAAAGCCTAAGACAGCTTGAGAAGTAGTTAACCATGAGAAATGGTTAAGTATGCTGTAAATACTTTTGCTTGGACTAATATTGCCTTAAAGGGAGTAATCTTTCGAAGATACAAACTTCATGTAGTAAAAATGTTTTAATTTAGGATGTTGCTGTTCTTTGCTGAATCAGTAAACAGAAATAAGGATTTCTAAACTTTTAATATATTGAAATATTTAACTTTCAATGTATTTCATTATTATTGAAATATGTCAATGAAATAATGAGGTGGTATAGGCCTGTGATACACTGAATAAAAGCATTAGTCCTAATGGAACGTATTGTATAATACATTTTTAAAAGAAAACTACTTTTTTAAATACCTATTCATGCGTTAAATTCAAATATATTTTTGGAGAAATAGAGAAAATTTCCAAATAAAAAAGTATTCTATTTTTTATTAAATATTTCAAGGAAATATTTCAATCACAAGATAAGAAGATGTATATAGTCTAAGACTGTTTACAACTAGAAGGTGAATTTAGGCTTTAGCATGCTCAGTCAACTTCAGCTTGACCTGAGAATCAGTTCCCCAGACTCTTATGTTGGTAACCTTCCTTACCCAAAATGGGAACTTTGAGTGATTCAAATTACTGCTAAAATATACTCAGTGTTGTTCAGACTGCTAAAAGCTTTTTTACAAAAAGGAGCTGGAACCTTGTGGTGGGTGATGGGAGCGATAGTGGGTATAAGTTTGTAATAAGGAGAGACTTTTTCATTTTATATTTTACCCCTGTCAGTAGCTGTGAGTGCTGAGTTCTGGGAAGCAGCACAGGGAGGCTTTATGGGAAGCTTTTATCTCGATTTCATCCCTAGGTTCAGGCACTGTATTGTCTGTGGAAGTGGAAAGATTCTGTGCATAGGAAATGTGCTAAAAAGTCTTTATTTACTTTTTGAATACTCAAAAACTGTGTCCCCTTGAAAATGAAGTTTTACAATCCAGGAAGTTCTTTATGCAGAATTTAAAGTATCCTCAAGGATATTTTGAACATACTAAGCAGCTCAGAATTGGCTCATTAACTGTTACATGAATAAGACAAAAAAAAGGATTATTATTGTCATGTAAAGTATCTGTGTGTATTCTCTTACATTTTATGCTTATATCACTGAACAGCAAAAGGCTATGGTTTTTGTTTTGTTTGTTTTTCAACAGGCAGCTTCTGAGTTTACCCCTCTCACTATCAGAAGAAGAATTGCGTAGAATGAGGCAAGAGTTGCATTGCTGCTTCTCTCAGGTGGACAGCAGCTTGGCTTGGCCCAAAATAAGAGCGAGAACCTTGCTTCAGGCTTTCGAGGTCGAGCAGAGGGATGCGGAGGTGCTGAAAGTTGACCAGAATTTAGCAGTGACCAGTAAACAGGTGGGAATGATGTAGGATCAGTGTGGGGATATAGAAGGGTTCTCTGGTATGTCTGCAGGTTGTTGGCCTTGCCTGCATATACAGGTCCAGACCTTCTTCATAGGTGTGACAGCAGTGCACATTTCTTCTGTTTGCGTGGACCAGTGGACCTTAAAGATAATTGGGCATCAATTAGACACATTTTTTTCACATACATCTGCATATTATTTCTGCTGATTGCATGTCCTCCAGCTTTCCCAAGAAGGTGGCATAGTTACAAGGAAGCAGACAGGTGGCAAAAAGGGGCTGCATCTTGCAGGGGAGTCCACTAAAATGCCAAAAATCTGAGCGGTGCTGAGGCTGGCTCTGAATACTAGGGACAAGTTGGGTCCTTTACAGCATAGATTGAAGATTTTCCTGGCAGCCCCTACAGTGCTAAATTTGACACTAAATCAAGGAGTTTCTGTAAGGGAATGTCATGCATTGTCTTGTCAGTTTGCGAAACTAAAGTTCCTGAATTAGTTGGACTTGTTTAGCAAGAATTTGGGCTTCATTTCCATTTTTAGTTTCCAAAAGAGTTGGGCATATACAGTGGGTTGGGTTTTGTGGCTTAGGGTGTGTTTTCTTTGTTGTTCTTTATGTTTGTTTATTTCAAATCTAAATATGTAGAAGATAAGGCATACTCAGAGTTGGAAAGATATTCCCAACAAGGAATCTGTCTATAAATCCTAGCTGTTTTTTAAATAACTCTGTGAAGGATGTTTAATTCCTTCAGTAAAATGTAAAACCTAAAATCATAAATTATATTCAATTCTTTAAATAGGAGGAGGGGGGAAGTGTTTCCTTTATGAATTGTATCTGATAACATCATAAAAAGGAGAACATTCCCTTGCTTTGATTTGGTTCAGTTATGTTTTCTAAACATGTAAGCTAACTTGGGTTAATTATAGTAGGAATTAGCCTAGTTCAAGACCTTAATAATTTCTAAAGTACTGAAGAAAGGAGATGACTTGGTAAAGCCTTATAGTTGAACAGATGTTATCATTTCCCCAAGAGTACATTATACTTAGTTGATATTCTTGTAAAGAAATATAAAGGTCACGAATAATTTGATTACATGGAGTGTTGCCCCTTAATACTATCATGGTTCAGTTGTGATTCATATACTGTGTCTTGAAAAACAATGTAGTTCTTAAATTAATATTCTTTGTTCATTTTAACCATGCTGAGGGGACTGTTTCAGTTAAAAGCTCTTATTATCACTGCTAAACCTTGTTAAAATCAAATCTGTGTGCTAGCAGATTTCATGGAAAGGATGAATATATAATTTTACTTTGAAAGAAATTAGAAAAGGTAATTAGCAACTTTGTCTGAAAGGAGTCTTCTGAATGAATAGGGCAGCATCTTCATTTCAGAAACATTTTCTCAGTGAATGTCATCCTTGACGTGTATCATTAATAGGTGGATCTGTCAATAATAGCAAGTAATAATGTTAGCGTCCTCATATACTTCTTACAAATAAAGCATTTCGTACTCATCTACTTACAGCCGCATTCTAAAGTGAAAAAAAATGGATCCAGGAATAGAAATAAGATGGATATTTTGAAGAAATCTTTACAGGACAAAATTTTCATTTATGAAGACTCTGTGAAAGATGAAAATTTGAATAAGGTAAGTGTCTTCTACATTACTAAAATGATCTCTAGTAATTAATGACTGTCAGTTTTCTATCAGTGTGAATAAGAACCAGATAAAAAGGCATATGGTGTGGTGGCATGATGCATGCTTCTACTCTTCCCTGCTTTTATAAAGGTGTTGAATTTCAAGTTTAAGAGATTCGACGTTGTTTTAACTTTTCCACCTTAGTTACAGAACTGATTTAATGTGTCACCTTTTTTTTCTTCCAGTGGTTCTGGGACTTGGCACATGCATGATTGCATAATTCCCAGAGATCCTGTGGCTTTCCTAGTTAGGCTTTCAAAACATGGAAGGTGCTTCACTGCATACTTCACTGAGCAAGATTTAGTTCTTTAATGTCTCCTAATGCTACTGAAAAGCCTGGAATGGGTTCTTAGATCAAAGACTTCTTGCGTAAGGGCTGAGTTTATTTGTACAGATCTTATTGAAAGAGAGCTTGATTCTGGTGGGTATCTATCTTTTAAAAGGCTCACCAGCCCCAGTATATAGTTAATCCTTAAGGAATGAGTGGGACCAATGCCAATATGGAATTTTGGAAGATTATTCCTTCTCTGCCAGCAGATGTTCCATGAGGTCTTGTTTGCGTTCTTTAACCTTTCTCTCCTTCTCTTTTCCACTTGTAAAATATGGGTAATACTACTTTTGTATATTGGGGGAGTGTTGCAATGGTAACTGTGGTAGACATAGGTGGTGCACAGCTGTAAGAGCTATGCAGAATAAGCAGGTGACGCTGGTAGATAAAAAGTAGTTTCGCAGATGATTGCAGTATCTATTTTAGTACCAAATTGGACAAAAATCTGGTTTTGCACCTCTTTCCTATGCTTTTTATGCCTTAACCTCCAAAATTTAGATATTTTTAATTTTTTTTACAAGTACTGAATACTTATTTGGTATGAATATTGCCTTACATTTTTGTTAGAATCTTGTTTTAAAATTGGAAATTTAGCTTCCCTAGGCCTCATTGTTTAAGTTTTATATGTACCACCTGGCATACCCGTTGTTTGCATTGTATGGCTGCACATTAGTTACAAAAAGCCAGTTGCTTTGGGCTTTTCCTAGTAAGGAGGCTAAACTACTAAGGAAGATCGTTACTTCACACTTTATCATTAGAATCATAGAATCATAGAATAATTAGGGTTGGAAAGGACCTTAAGATCATCTAGTTCCAATTGCCTTGCCATGGGCAGGGACACCTCCCACTATATAGTGGGACTATATGGAATATGTGTCCCACATTAGGACACAGAAGTATTGCAGTTGACCTCATGTTGATCACAGAATCAGAGTTTCTTTCTTTTGCCGCTAGAGTTTCTTACCTCATTCCTCATTTAAAATCTTAACACTTCTAAGTTTTGCATTAATATGAACACTTCTGTCGTCTTCCTCAAAATTAACCATCTGAAGTTGCACAGCCAGTTCAAGCAGGGAAGAAGAACAATGGAGCAGTACAACTCTGCTATATTTCACCTGCTTTCACTGCTGCAGACTTCATATGGTATCATGAGTTCTATCTCTCTACAGGATGGCTGTAAAATGGTTTCCAGCTAATGCTTATGAAAGCAGCAGCAGTGTGTGTTTTGTGACACGGTAAAACAGGCACAGCAGAGACCAACTCATAGGAGATGATGAGCTGGGAAGCCACGGCAGGAAGTTTGATGCCTTATCTTGGAGCATCTGAGAGAATCATTGACCTCACTGTGAAAATCTTCAAAACCAGACGTTATCTATTTTTGTGTTTTGTAGCTGGTTTGAGTTGTCTTATTTAGTGATAGGACAAGGGGTAACGGGTTAAAACTTAAAACGGGGGAAGTTTAGATTGCATATAAGGAGGAAGTTCTTTACTGTGAGGGTGGTGAGGCACTGGAATGGTTTGCCTGGGTAAGCTGTGAATGCTTCATCCCTGGCGGTGTTCAAGCCAGGTTGGATCCTTGGGTGGCATGGTTTAGTGGGAGGTGTCCCTGCCCGTGGCAGGGGGGTTTGAACCGGATGATCTTAAGGTCAAGGTCCTTTCCAACCCTAACTATTCTATGATTCTATGATTCTGTTTCTGGTTATGCATGAGGAAGTAGCTCTTCCTTTCTGAAATAGAAGTTAATTTATGTCAGAAGAAACAGAATAGTAAAAATGCCAACATTCATGGAATCACAGAATCCTAGAATGGTTTGGGTTGGAAGTGACCTTAAAGCTCATCTAGTTGCACTCCTCAACTCCTCATTCTTTAGTCTATTTTCCCTGCTGGGCTTATAAAACCCAATAATAATATTTGCTTGAGAAATGACTTAAGGTTGCAGGTAAATAAGTATATTTTCAGATTATTCCCTTTATTTGTAATATATAGGACTGAGACAGAACTAGTTAGCAATTAGTCTGAACTAAATATGGAATTTAAAAGTCAGTGTTTTAAAGCAATGGACTAACCATAGTGCATTTACAGCACTGGCAATTTTTTTATGTAGTTTGAATGTTTCAGGTGGAATCAAGAGCAAATGTTCAGACCTATGAGAGTGGATTCACTATCACCAAAGTAGTCTGACACTATATGTCAAATAATATGATATCAAGCAGTGTACTGCAGTACTCTGATATAATAAAAGGCTTCAAGAATGGCCAGGGGATATTAGTTTATAACTAGTTTATAATTTAGTTTGTAATTAATATTTGATCCAGCTTCTACTGAAATTGCTTTCTGTGTCACACTGAAGTCAGATGTACTTGCAAGCTTTGGTTTTCACAAATGTATTTCTGTTTGCAGAGCTGTGATTTCAAAGCTGACAAGAGGCAGAAGAAACTCAGGTGACTAGGGACAGTAGTACCAGTTGAATAATGCAACATTTTATTTGGTTACAAGTAGTTACTTTACTGTATAATGTTGAATAGATGCTGAATGAAAAAGCTGAACATCATTCCCGTAGAATCATAAAATACTTTGTGCTGGAAGGGACCTTCAAAGGTCATCTAGTCCAACCCCCCCTGCAATGAGCAGGGACATCATCAGATCAGGTTGTTCAGAGCCCTGCCCAACCTGACCTTGAATATTTCCAGGGATGGGTCATCTGCCACCTCTCTAGGAAACCTGTTTCAGTGCTCCAACATCCTTATCATAAACTAATGTCTTCCTTATATCCTCTTTCTTTTTAAAACCATTACGCCTTGTCCTGTCACAACAAAACAGTTTGACTGCATTTTTCTTATAAGCCCACTTTATGTCCTGAAAGGCTTCAGTAAGGATGCCCTGGAGCCTTCTCTTCTGCAGGCTGAACAATCCCAGCTGTCTGAGCCTTTCTTCAAATCCCTTGTATTTGGGCATGCTTAACACATGGCTTCATACATAGTAATATGCAAATAGTACCTAGTTTCGCAGTTTGGACCATAAATCTTATGATTTATGGAATATACTGAACATATATAAAATCCCTGTTATTTAAGTGGTTGACAAAAGTATAAGTGTTTCTTTCATCAGTGGCATCTCTTGCCTTTTAATTTAGATGCAATTATAATACACATTTTGTGTCTCCTTATAAGTGAACTTGAGTTGTCATACTGCATTACCATCCTTATTCATTATTCATTTTAATGGGTTCAGACTTACGCTAAAGGTGATCACTCATTTACCCATTCATGTATTCATTCATCTATCCCCAGATTTCAAATATGTATAATTCATTTAAAATCCTTGTGTCTGAAACTGAGCCTCCTGTGAAGAAGCTTAAACTGAAGCTGAACTTTAAATTCAGTGGTGTGCACACACCTGTCAAAACATTTCTGTGTAATTTTCCACATTTCTAGAGGTTTGGAGCACTTCCTGTCCCTAAACCACAAAGGCAGCCTTCAGATATTACTTACTAATTTTCTGTCTTATAAAACAAATCATACCTCAAGCATATATTTTCCCCTTTCTGGAGATCTTGTAAGAATTTGTGTATTTTGGTAGGCAGTATCTTAGACATATAACTAAAAGCTGGAAGAAAAGAAAGATGAGCTCTTGGTGTGTGCATGTTGTCACAACTCATTCAAGCTGGTAGTGTTGCAATATTCTTATTAGTTAAGAGGCTGCCATAATACATTGAATAGTGAGCATCACATAGACTCTAAAGCATTAGTCTTTTTGGAAACTTCTAGTGAGGAAGGTCTGCTTGAATTTCCTCTCCCCTTCCTGCCCCCTGTTCCTTGAATAGATGCTATTGTGATAAAAATCATAATACAAATCATTTAGTCTCTTGCAACAAAAAATTGGTGGTTCTCATCCATCTTCATTTTCCTGCTTTTAAGTCAAATCAAAACTCAACATTGCCAAAGTTTTGAAAGGTGGCTTATGGCATTAGTTGTCCAGCCTGGTTCATTTCTAACATATATTGCCCCTTAAAGTGATGTCTGCTGTAGTGATGAATCTCCCTGAGCATCTTACTAGACAGCAACTGTTGTTAGCTAAGTGTTGAGTGAATGGCTGAATCAGATACAAATTCCTTGCCTTCCTTTAGAAGCTATTTCTCCTGGTATTCTCTTTAAGAATCACCTAAAAGTGGAACAACTTTCACTGATGAAAAGAGGGATGGAGGCAAGTAAATGGAAACTTCACAACTGAGACCTTAAAAAATTAAGAGTCTGGCAATACAGCTCTGAAAATTGACAGTTGCTTTTGAGAACATTGTGTTGTGTCACAGTGATCAGTAGTACAACAATAAATTCAACATGCCTTTCAGAACAAAAATGTGAATCTTATTTGTGCACAGGCTTTTCAAGAAAGGTTATTTTTTTTTCTGAAGAAAGATGTAATTTTTTTAATTATTTTTTTTTGTTTTAAATATTTACCTTGGCTCTGAGGTATGGAATCGGCTTAGTTCTAGGTCTTAGTCTTACATCACTGGTTTATAAGAATATGTTGAAGTAACACTTTGGATTTTTAAAATCATAGAATTATAGAATAGTTAGGGTTGGAAAGGACCTTAAGATCATCAAGTTCCAACCCCCATGCCATGAGCAGGGGCACCTCACAGTAGACCATAAACCAGAACAAACTGAGTTAGAATGGGCTTGGCAGTCTTGTGCAATCTATATCAGTCATGACCTGTAGCATGTTCTGCAGAAGTTTCTATCTTTGATTTCCTGTCAGTGCTGCCAGAGTACAGCCTACACCTTTGAATGCTTCTCAACTACTGAAATGGAAGTTTAAATGAGATGCTAAAGTTACTTGCTCTTTGCTAAAAAACAAGTTTTGTTTTTGGAAAACAAAAGGCCCAAAATTCTGTTTAATAGGTTTCTTGCCTACCTGCAAAGAATGTAGAAAATATGTATAAAAATATAGTCATCATAATCATTTATTATTGACTTTTTTCCTACTGATAAGTGAAACATAGAAACAAGCAATAGGTATTTCTGGGTTCTTTTTGAACAAGTACTGGAAGGCATCTCGGCTCTTTTCCCATGAACTCCCATTTTTGGCCATCTCTTCTGCTCTTCAGTCACTGCCTAGCATGTTCAGAAATAACAGCTTAGTGTTCAGGATTTTAGTTACTGTATTTCCAGTACAATCCTGAGGTTGAATTCTCCTCTTAACTCAAAAATCACAGGTGTTTATTTGTAACACATATGCTTACTTATTATTCAGTGTCACACACCTGCATTATTCAAGATCAATTTGTTAGATCAACAGTAATGTTGAAAGGCAGTGACTGTCTTTTATGATGGAGGTTTGTTAAAAATATCAAGAAAATGAATCTTGCCTCCACTTTGTGTCTGTACAATGATTTCTTACTGTCTTGTAATTGGTTTAATTCACATTAGGGGGAAACATTTCCTGAAGGTTACCTTTCATCCATTGCATTCAAGGACATTCCAGGTGATATAATGGAGACTTTGGAGAATATTACATGGGCATGAGACTATCACAAGTATATTTGGTTCCAAATCACATTTTAAATTTCGCTCTATCTACTGGATAATAGAATTGGTATGATACGTAATAGCATTTAGCAGATCTCTTACCAAAATTTCCAGAGAAAAATCATGAACATCATGTTACATATTTATCATCTTATGGGTCTAAAAACTTGGTGGAAGTCTCCTTAAATGCTCCTTTAAGGTTCATTGTTGATGGAGTCAATAATGTGTAATTCTGATTAGCATGAACAGAAAGCTAATAAGGTTTTAATGTTTTGAGTACATACTGTCTCTATTTATGCAGAGATAGTCTGAGAGGCAAAATCAGGTCTTGTGCCAATGGGAAGAAGATACAATATATAAAGACTCTGGTTGACCTGTTACAGTGTTGTAGTTCATGCTTGCAGGTCTTTATTGTTCTTATTTTATTGACTTGCAAAACCATAGACAGGTGGATTCTGCGTATAAAGGTATACCACAGGATGCCTGCCATGCTAAGGTATTAACTGTGTAGGTATCTCAATTACATACAGATGTTCTGTGTTCAAAGAACAGACCTCTTCCTGTTCTTTAAGACAGGGCCCAAACTTCATGAGATAAATACTTTTCCATAGAATGCAAATGTGAATGTCTGTGCTCAGATGCCACAGTGACAGTAAACTTGTTGCTTGAGCACTGCTGTTAAAATAATACTGTAAAATCTAATTTCTGAGAATTCTATTATTTTTTTTGTATGCTGTGAAACCTATCAGATTAGATTTATCAGGACCAAAAGATAATTTAGAGGTAGTGAGGAAAAACCCTGCACTCTGATACCCAGCAGTGTATAGATGGCTTTTTCTTTGCTTAACTTTATTCTTAAAGTCCCCTGTGAAAAGCTGTAGTTGATACCAACACCAAATAATGGAGTTGGAGCTCTCTTAGAACCATAAAATGGTTTGTGTTGGAAGAAACTTCAAAGTTCATTCAGTTCCAACCCACTGCCATGGTCAGGGACACTCTACACTAGACCAGGTTGCTTAAAGGACAATCCGACTTGGCCTTGGACACTTCCAGCTATGGGGCAGCCACAGCTTCTCTAGGCAACTTGTGCCAGTGGTTGGATGTGCTTTCTCTCTCTGTGTCTTCTCTGTCTCACAGTCCCAACTTTTGGAGCCATGTGGATAATAAAGGGAGAGAGAATGAAATTAAACATAATTATTTCCTGACTTTGAGGATTCATCTACCCAAGTGTTAGATATGCAGCAGTGCCTAACTTAGACATCCATACCTATATGACACTGGAAACACATTTTGTAGGATACAAAACATACAGATAAGTACCTTTTCCTTGGCTTTGACTTAAAATGTCAAGCTTAAATGGAAGCATGTAAAAGAGGGTAATTGCAGTTGGGTGCAGTCCACCCTGTGCTGCAGAAAAATGGTTACAGTGGCAATATCGCTGACTATGAATATCAGTGCTATAGCGTCAAAAGCTCATCAATCACATTGCATTTGAGTGTGTGCTTGCACATGCTGTATTTGCCTTTCACCCTTGGATAGTTTCCGTGGATGTCCCATCAAATGTGTGGCAGCGACATAGATACTGAGTTAAATCATGTTGATTTAATCCTGTTTAATGTCAATTCTATCCAGTTTTAATCTTGTTTGAAATCCATTACTTTTGATTTACAGTTTAACTTTTGTTTTACATAAGATTTTTGGTTATTTGTTTAAAGAATAGTAGGTTGAATTTCATTGGTCAGTATTTATTATGAGTTTGATAGTAATTACAGTCTTTCTAGAAAGTTTGTATTTTTGCTAAAACAGGGATGTATTTTATCTTCCCATTTAACCAACCACATAGGTAAGCATAGGTTTATTTGTATTTTTAATTTTTACTTATATTAAAAATTATATAGACACTCTATTTTAGGTTTGTATTTAGTATTAAAGTTGTGACTACCCTAAAACAAAGCCTGATCTCTTTGAAATGTCTGACCATACTGTAATATTTTTTTTTATCACTTAAACACGGTAAAATCTTGGGATTTAATGTCAAAAACACTTTTTAAAACAATGTATTATATTGTAAGATAACAGAATTGATTTCTTCAGTGCTTTAACCTGCTTGTTAATTACAGAGTAATAAAACCATGGGCATGCATGATGATGTTTTCATGAGGTTTTCTGTTAACCTTTTTATCTTTTGTGGTTTGGTATTTTTTAGGTTAAGCACGAGTTGCTGCTTGAGAAAGAGTGTCAGCTGCGCGACCTGGAAAATAAACTCGGAGAGTATATTGCTGCTTTAGCCTTTCAGAAGACTGTTAAAAAATCCAAAATGTTGGAGCTGTATACTGCTATCATAAGTGTGCAAGCTTTGCTCTTTGAACAGCTGAGCACGTCAAAAGCCCTGTCAAAACTGGAATGTATTCAGATTTTAGAAGCACACAACCCTGTAAGTAATGAAGTTGTGAAAAGGAAAAATTTCTCTTAGGAGACAGCAACTATCACAGTAGCTTAGTTGACTTTGATTTAGCTGTGCTGATTTGTAGCTCCTGATTGTCCAGTATTTAATTTCTGTGATTATGAGCTTTAATGCACTCAGTTAAAGGAATAAAGTGAAAAACAGTAGTAGAGCCAGGAATGACTGTGCATCATTATGATTTATTTTTATTATAATGGCATCCAGAAATTTACGGTGTATTTTGATGGCTAATTATTATTAGTGACTTATCGATTGCAAGGAAGATAACTGGGAAGTGATTGTGAGTCATGACTGAGATAGTGTGTAAATTGTCATGACTTTGTTACAAAGTTGACCATGTTATATTGCTATCCTTATGGTAAAATCCATAACCACATGATATGCTTAAGTCATTGAGCTTTTAAAGATTATATATACAGCCTCCTACCTGTCTCTGTCTCCCTCCAAGCGCATTTACACCATTTAAATAGCAGAAACTTTGGAAAGGCCGCCTCCCTTCATCGTATTTATTATATACTTGGTGTGTGCCAGTTTTCTGAACCTTTTTTAATAATTCAGTGCTTTGTATTCATAAGGATTTTTTTTTTTTTTACATCTGCTTTTTGCAGTCATCCAAGTGAGGCTTGCGAGAGCACTGGAGTCGAACCGACAAAATGGGTTTTTAAGAGCAAAACCTCTTTGCTAGAGGGCATCATTAGATAGCTATTGCTGTGAAAACTCCTGGTTAAATTTTAATGCTTTCATCTCTACAGCGTTTCTCTTTGCATGGCAGCTAGAATGCTTATATGATTCCAGCTTTGCTTAAATTTGTAGAAAATCTGTAGAAAATAGTGAAATTCTATGTAGACAGAGTATTATAAAAATAATTTAATCTGAAGTTACTGCCTTTTATGCAGTAAGGCAGCTCTTGGAAGAGGTTGCTTTTAGGTTGTCTGTCCTTGAACAGATGAAGAAAAAGCATTGAAGGAGGGATGGAAGAGAGACCTGGAGTAGCTAACGCTGGATTTTTTTATCCAGTGTGCATGAACTGATTTAAGACCTATTTTGGAGGAAAAAATATTTTAGGCATTGTTTAAAGAACCTGTTAGGCTTGGATTGCAGGGGCTGTTTCCTGGTGATGAAACCTCTTTCTCTTGCTGTGGTTTTGTCTAACTCCTTTGTCCAACTATCTGGCAAATTTTAACACCTGTTGCTTTAAAACAAATACATCAGATTACAGGGGATGCCCTAATGCTGACAACATCAGTGATCGTTTTGCCAATCAGTGAAGCAAACATGTGGCTGTATGTGAGTTTGCTTCGTCCCCTTAGAGATAACAAGTTACACAGTTTCACAGTTTCACAGTATTCTAGAGATTGGAAGGGACCTCAAAAGATCATCTAGTGCAATCCCCCTGCAGGAGCGCCTAGATAATGTTACACAGGAATGTGCCCAGGTGGGTTTTGAATGTCTCCAGGGAAGGAGACTCCACAACCTCCCTGGGCAGCCTGTTCCAGTGTTCCGTCACCCTCACTGAGAAGAAGTTTCTTCTCAAGTTTAAGTGGAACCTCTTGTGTTCCAGTTTGTACCCATTACCCCTTGTCTTTTCATTGTGTGCCACTGAGTAGAGCCTGGCTCCATCCTCGTGACACTCCCCCTTTATATATTTATATACACTAATAAGGTCACCCCTCAGTCTCCTCTTCTCTAAACTATAGAGACCCAGCTCCCTCAGTCTTTCCTCATAAGGGAGATGCTCCACTCCCTTAATCATCTTAGTTAATAACCAATTTTGGTGTTGGATCTAAGCACTAATGTCAAATCTTGCTGACCAAGAAGCAGACACTTACTTAAAGATGCTGTGCTCCAGTGAATCTGTAGTCTGAATAGAGCTGATGGGATGGAGGAATAGATCAAAATTCAGCATTTTCTCCAAGATACAAGTTGAGAAATAGGGCACTGAAATACTAAGAAACTTAAAAGGTTCAGGTCAGACAATGACGTTGGAAAAGTGGACTGTGGAACTTCCCTTCTGATGTCTAGTTTGACTCTGACCAAAGAAAGATCTTCGTCATGAGGGATAAAGTTCACTTATTAAGACTTTGGCGTTTAACCCAAAGAGCATAGTATTTTAACCCTAATTTTATCACACTAAATGTGAACTATTGTTTTTTCACATAACTCATTGATATTAGCTGTTTATTCAGTAGAACTAAATCTGCTTAAGATTTAACTCAGTCTGAGTTTCTCAAGCTCTTTTCAGAGGCTTTATGCAGCTTATAGATGAATCCTAATGGTGCCATTCTTTTGTTTGAATCTGAGCCATGCTGATAGTGTACTTTGTAGATGTCCTCTACAGTGGAAGGTTTCAGAGGGCACTGACCTTTAACACAGTGAAAATTGACTCATATCTTTTGGCATTGTTCTGATATTCCTGGTCTGCAAGTCATGTTTGGCGAAGCCATGCAATGAATTTGAAAGTGTAATGACTGCAAGTGGCTGGGTAGAATGAGAAATGAATAATATCAGAAATTTTGGTACCATCTTTTTTCTTGTCTCCAAATGAAATTCACTCTTCCAAGTTAAATTCTGACTTTTTATCCTTATGTCTTTTCACCCTGTAGGAGATTGAAGAACTTGACAGGAAGCTGGAGTATGAGATGTTGCATAAGGAGTCAGCTCAGCAGCAGCACCATCTAATGAGCAGACAGAGGTGGAGTCTGGATGGCTTGGGACTTTCAAGTGAAGCTGTAGAAACAAATGCAGACAGACAGGTGACAGTTCTGCTAAGACAGGCTATGAATAAATGTGGGCAATTTATAAATCTGCATCAGCAAAGGTAAGTCCTTTGGTCTCAGGTTCTATAAGCAGTCCTTATAAACCATAAGATAATTACGAACAGCAGGCTAAATATTCTGCTGTTGGGGAGGAACTATGCATGTGTTTGAAGAGTGCATTTTTGTGATGTAGCCCAGAGCATAACTGAGGAATCTTGGGAATATTGAAATAAGAAACATGAAATAATAATAACCTAGTTGTGTATAGATTATGCTGTGTTTCATGGCAATCACCATTTCTTGATGGCGATAGTGGAAAAATAATAATACTCCTTAGCAGCAAGGAGGAGAAGAATTTCAGTCCTGTTCCTTTGACTCCAAAGAAGATAGGTAGCAACGTGATCTGCAGGGGTCAGGGGAACTAACTGAGATGATTTAAATTAAATTTCCATCTCAACTGTCACAGTGTAGACTGAATTCCCTGTCACACAGTCATTTTTGATAGGATATATAAACTCTGCCTTAGAGACAGGCTCAGTTTTCACTTTTCCCTGGCCTATTTTTATGTAAAGGTATCAGTGACCAAAAAAAAGATATATAGAAATATCTGTCTGCTCATGAAGGTTGCCTAACAAAAATAGGTGGTAATGTGCAAAATTGCAAAGTATTGTATTACCTTCAATAGGGTTACAGGAGTTAGGTATTACATTTCTATGTATATTGTACAGTATTAAAAGCCTACCACATTTCAAGATACATGTATGATCCTGAGAGGATGTTTTTCATTACAAAGAGGAATTCCTGTGAAACAATTGATATATTTAAAATGGCTTTGAGAGGCTTTGAGTGGAGTTACAGCACTCTTAAAGCTGTTTCAATTCTGAACATGCTGGAGCTCTACTCAATGTAGATTAATGACTCTTATCTTGCAGAAGTGAAGAGTCACTAGAAAAGCAAGTAAGTTACTGATTTGTGGATGCTACTGTAGAGATCGCTCAGTGATGCCTTCAAAGAAACAGCAACTAGCCTTTACTGTTTACCTGAAAACTTAATGGAAGAAACAAATTTTGTACTTTTACCAAGTGACACAAGGATGGCTTCATGGTTCGGTCCAGAAACAAAAAAAAACCACCACTAGTGAGGGAATTAGCTCTTTACTATTATATTCCAGCAATAAAGATCCACAACTTGCCATAAACTGTGGTGATGAAATTTAAAGAGGATGGGGACAGGTTGAATCGTGTCACATTGGAGCAACTCTGGATATGAATTGCATGCAAGAGCATAGCTTTAGATTCTGCTGTCATGTTTGTTTGGTGGTTCAGGGAAGAAGGGAAAAGAATTTGGCTTATTTTAGAAGTTACACTGTTCACCCAGCTTTGCTGACAGGAAGGCACGCTTCCTGAATGGATGACTTTCAGATATTGTTTTCTGTAATACAGTTGTTGCGCCTGGGAAGACTTCAATATTAATTCTGTCTTTCACTTCAGCTTGAGAGATGAGCAATGGAATTGCGTGGTGCTTGAAGATCTCCTGGAAAATATAGAAATGGATGCATTATTGGCACTTTATAGTCAGGTAAGCATGAAATTGAGCAAAGCTGCCAAGTTTAAATTAAGGCTGTATCTGAAAATAAGCTTTTCTTCTTTTTTGGGAAGTGTTATAAGTGTATTTGGAGTGACTATCTGCTAATAGTGGCTCCCAATTCTGCTGTTAGGTGTCTATATTATCATTTATTTAATTCTGACCTGCTTTCGGCCTTTTGAATTTTACTGAGTTATATTTTTTTTATTCGCTTAAAAATCCTTTCAGGGTGTTCTCCTGTTGCATTTCATTCTGTAGAGAACTAAATTGCCCGAGTTTCTGGTTTACAGGTAGATTTACAGTCTGATTTTCATGTAACAGGACAAGGGATTTGTTTAGGTTTTAATCAGGAATGGTTGCATTGATTGTGTTACAAAACTAGAAGATAGACAGACTGCTAGTTAAGTTTTCTAGTATCATTACTCATAGCGTTTTTTAGAAGAGTGTCACCTCTTCAGGTATTGGCTGCCTGTCAGTCCCACAAAAGGCGTTAAAAATGAATCACTGCTGTCCTCAAGTGCTATCTGCAGGCCTTGGTTGAGATATGTAACTGGTGTTAGAAAAGTGACTCAGCATTGGAGCTTTTTGCATACAAACATCTTTCCTCTCAGGAACAAGTGTGGTTGCAGTCACATGAATCATAAATTCAGAGCTTCAGAAGTCAGCAAGCAAAGGGAAGAATCATTTTGACTAAGGGTCTTTCAGCTTTCCCTGTGCCTTAGCTTGTTTCTGCTCAGTTTTGTGAACTCTGTTGTCTCCCGAGTTAGATGTCTATTTTAAGTCAGCTGCTCTCATGAAGAATTGGAGTGAGACTCTTGTATACTTTTTTCTGTGTTAGGATATTCACCCGGAAGGTAGCACATGTTTTCAGACCCGTACTCTGATTTAGGTAAGGAATTTGCATCACAGTCTCTTAAAGTTCACTGGAGGGTGGTAATCCCTTCAGTCTCTGCCTCTCATGGGGACACTCAGGCTCCATTCAGAGTCAAGTCCTTTTGCAAGTCCTTCCTTACCTCTGAATATCTGGCAGCCTTATGGCTAAAGCTCTGTCCTGGAATAGAAGATCTCAGAGTGGGAATTCAGACTTTGTCTTAACACTTTCCAGAGCATCCTATCCTCTGGGCATAATAATAGAAACATCAAAAGCACATTCTGGTGTGTTGCAGTGTTACAGTTGGAGGTGTTTGCTGAAGAGGTCATGACCAGCGTTACCAGCCTTCCAGTTCTAAATCCAAGCTATATATTGCTGTAGAGTTTGGGGGCAGGGGGTGTGTGTGTTTAGTATTATTAGTATTATTATTTTCCTCTTTGATTTCCCCCCATCTCCTGTTGCAGCTGGTTTTTTTCAAACTGGCTTGCTATCCTGTCAGCCTTGACAGTTTTGGATATTTTAAGCAGATATGGCTCTCAGGAGCTACTGAATTCTGTTCCAGCCTTTAGTTCCTTCCCACTGTTTTCTGCCCCCAATGACCTACTGTGCATAAAGCTCCTAATATGTTATTGGGATTTCAGTGCATCCTACTGACACTGCAAAAAATTTCTGCTGCAGGCCTTTGATAAGGTGATATTTATCATAACCTTGATAAGGTTATATGGTATTTATGATGTAAATATTCATATGATGGTGAGCTTTAATCTTTATTTCTTTGTAACTTTAAACTTTATGTGTATTCATTTATGCTTCTTTAAAATAACTTGCGTAAAATGATCACCCACTATTTTCATTATTCATTCAGTTTTGGAATGGTGATGTGGGCAGTGACAGCTATAACACTTTTTAGAGGCACTATGAAATCAGAGGCTTTATTTTGCCCATTTTTAGTTGCATTTGTCTAATACTTCAAGATTCAGAGTTTTTTTTCTGGGAGAAAGATGATCTTTTGGCCTGTTCAGTGATCCTTTTTTTTTTCTGTGTGAAACAGGGAGGCTTCTGTGAATATTTTGCTGAAACATACAGTGCTTCAAGTACATCCCAAATATGGTAAATAGAAGTTAAGTCTTAGATAAAATAAATTCCATTCCACATCTGTGGAAAATAAGCGTTATAGCAGATAGAAAAATTGAAAATGCTTTGAAAGGTCCTTTGGCCTTTGCTGATCTTTCTCTGTACTAGTGTGGGTTAAATCAAAGGTCTTGGTTGGCCGCAGTCCTTTGAATTCTTCTTATACTGTTTGCTGGGATTTGTTTTTTTTTTCCCTAGTTCACTGTATGTTTATCTGACAAAATATGCTTCATCCCTGGCCATTATAAAGGCTTTAACAGCCCAGACCAACTCCTCCAGATTAGCACTACTGAGACCATTATCATAGTTTAATTTCAGTACTTTTAAATCTGCTGTTGCCTTGCAATCTTGGACTAATTGGAGAGACCATGTACAGTGTTTATTTAGCAATTTCATCGGCTGGCAAAACCAGTCAGCACTAAGTGGGAATTCTTAAAAGAGAGCATGAAGACTGCATTAATCTCATACTGTGGTTCTTATCTTGCCATACTCTTGGCATAGAAGCTTTGGAAGAAGATGCATGTAACAAGCCAGATGCTCAGCAGAAGAGTTCTTATCTTGCAAAGGATGTTGTGAAATGTTTTTCTGCTGATCTTGAGCTTGGTTGTCTCTGCTAGAGCCTCAGCATCTACCTCCCTCATAAAGGCATGAATTCAAGATTTGTGCCATGTTAAGATGAATGCCAACCTCCAGTCAATTGTGATGTCCCCAGCAGCCAGGACTGCTGATAACTGATTGGAAGTGGCTCAGGGAGCACTTCCACCAGTTCCTCAGTACCTTTGGATGGATCCCATCTAGCCCCATAGACATGTGTGTGTCTAAGTGGTGTACCAGATTGCTGACTATTTCCTCTTGGGTTACGGCAATTTAATTGTCTTCTGTGATGGTTGTTAAGTTTCTTGGGCATAGATGCACTGTGAAAGAGCTGCTGAACAGCATGGCATGTATTCTGCAAATTGAGAGGTTAAAATCATTGCTTTGCAGACATAAACTGAAAATGTCATAATTTTCACAGTATCCACTCCTCTTACCACCCTAGCAGGTAAACAGTGACCTTTGATAATTATAAATCTTGGTATCTTGAAGACAGAGATTTAAAAACATCACTGTCACTTCACTGCAGTTGAAAAACTGCACTCGCTGTTCAGTGTATACTTGGGGGACTGCTTTGTGTTTTGTTCATAAGGTTCCCTGAAGAAATAATTAATTTGTGTAAAAACGCATTCGATATCATTATGTATACCATTGGGGTTTCTGTGTTTATTCACATAAAGTGTAGCCCAGAGATATTCTGGGACATAATTTATTGAAATTCCATAAAACACATACTTATTTACCCTGCAGATATACAAAACATCTGTTCTCTGCAAGTATAAGTCCAACTATAACTCTGAACTTCAATATTCTTAACTGTAAAGAAGTATGTGCTTAGAGAAGACTAATTTATTATGGCTTAGAGTGCAACTTGTTCCTGCTTTTGGATGTGCTTATCGTGTGTATGATATGGGAATCAATTTTTAACTCTTCCCTCCTCCCTCATTTTCATATAAATTATGGAACACAGTACATTGGCAAGTATTCGGAAGCTATAGCCATTGTACCTCTGTATCTTGCACTCATTTGTTTCTTTTAAGAGGACTTTCCTCTTTAGGCTGGTTTTCAGAACTGTGCATGCAGCCCTCTCTGGAAAACCAGGTAATTTTTGCTTTCCTACATTGCATGTTTCAGCTTATCCTTATCAAGGCAGATCTAGGTGAATAACAGATTTGCTTGAATGATAGTCAGTTCAGGATCATAAGCCTCTGTCTGAGAAGTTTCTTTTAAATAAGCTCATAATATAGTCCCAGGTACACCAGTTGCATTCTGGGGACAGCAGATGATGCAGGCAGAGTGCCATGCGGAAACAGCACAGTAAGCTTGAAACACAGCACAGGTCGAGTTCACTGATTCTGCCATTAGTTGTTGAAATTCACATTGCTCAGTCCATATACTTAAAAGTAATTCTGCTGTGTGTAAACTACAATTCTTTCCTGGTTTTATTTTGACCATATAATATACCTGAAGAATCAGTCACCCCAAACTGGAGCGCTTTTGGTCTGACTGGTTAACCATTCCTGTATTTGCATGCACGTTCACTTCTTCCCGGTTCTGCAAGCCGCTCTGAATAGCTGTGAGCATCTGGAAATGCTGCTCACTGCTGGTGCATGTTCACACATCTGCACTCTCTTGGCCATACATATGTTAGATGCCAGTGGGCCCCTCTGCCACTTCGGTACTGGTGACAGCATTGTGGCACCTGGCAGGATTACTTAATTGTGAATTCTGCTGTGTTAGAAAAGCATTAAGGATTCCCTTTCAGTTCCCAAATCATAGTTGATGTGGAAAGGTAAGGGTCAGAGCGGAGAAAACGTTCTAAAGAGGAAATTATTTCAGAGGAAAGCAGTACTGATGTCATCTGTGTAGGAATTACTGACTTATAGGTCCTGAGACTATTCAGCCAAAAAGGGCAGAATACATCACAGAGATGTGTAATTTTTATTCTCACTTAATGTGTTTTTTGTAAGTTTCTGACAGAACAGTTTTAAAGACTAAAAGTACAACACAGTCTGTCTACAACTGTAGAATTTAAAATTAGGTGTCTGTATTAAGATTAAAGCTCTTATTTACATTCTTCTCCAGAGAAGAATCAGACCGTTTCCTGGCCTAAGCCAAAACAGACATCTCTTTTACCTCATTTTAGTTCCTGTTTAGGGTGAAGACATTGGATATTTTAGATACTGCATTAATTTCCTAATTTCTCCTCAAACTTAGGATTTTGTCTTGTTCATTTTAGTATCTCAGAGTTTCCATGGAAAACTTATAACAAGAACACTGTAAAACCCAGGAAGCTTTGGGGACATGGCTATTTTTCCTCCTTTCTGAGAGGAGTTATCTGCTTGGAGAATAGTCATGGGTTTTTATTTTTTGGCCATCAAAATTTGGGTTAGGACTTCATTGGGAGTGATTGCTTTGTTTGTTTTTACGTGGATTTAGCAGAAAGATTTGTCCTTTACAGGACATCCTTTTGGTAAAATGCCTTCTTGCAAAAGAAAAGAGTGATTTGATAATGGGTGTGTTTGCTGCTCTGGAAATTGGTCATGCAAAGCAAGAGGCAGAGTTCAAATATTTACTGTGACACATTGAATCCATTGTGGACAAAGAAATTGACTGTCTTCAAGCATGGTGGGACCTTGTAGGTTTTTTATGTGACATGGGCTTTGTAGTCATCTCCTCATCAAGTTTATAGGAGAGTCTGCAGAGCAGAGGTGACTCGGCTGTCATGAGTCATCTCGAACATTTGGCACATCTTACTTAACTTCACCTACCTGAGAAGCACGGATGGTTTGAATAGACTACAACAGTTTTTTTCTGGCATCCTTTGAGGAATTTAACTTGCTTTATTTTGCTCAGCTCTTTTCTTTCCATGTAGTTCTCAATACATTGGAGACTTTTCATATTTGTTACACAGACACGGGGTGTCTGCAGAAACAGCCCTGGAGACACAGTAGTTTTGAAAGCAGAGCAGAAAACAACAGGATTTTGGGGTTTGGAGGGGGAAATGGGGCTGGTTGATTGTCTAGGGAGCAACTACATTTGAACTTAGTCTATTTGAGCACTATGTTAATATGGTCTACTACTGACCTTTGGGCAAAAAAAGAGAGGACATTTGGAAAAAAAATAAACCCCAAACACCAAAACAAAACCAGATTTTTCCTTCACCTCTTAACAAATGTTATTACAAGCTGCTCTCTGAGTTTATCACAGAATCTTGTGGTAAGAGAGGCTGCACAATGAAGTGCTCAGCCCTGGCAACATATAAATGTTGTCATTAGGTTTCAGAGGCTATTTTTTCTCCCTTAATTTTGCAGAGCCCGGAATGTTATATAGCTTCATTACTATCTTGAAAGCATTTCTTCGTAATAGTACAAGCCATAAATTAACTAAACCTTACATGCTAGATTACGGTTGCATTGTGTTTTTTCAGACCGAAGGGCATCAAGTATATGCTCTAAGCACATACACTAAGATCAGCTGTTTTTTTAACACTGACATTTACTTTATCCAGAACGAAATGGGCAATCAAAATATATATGGGTAGAAACAGTGGCCATGGGACTGTGACCGTGACCGCTTGACACCAAAATTGTTGCCACTAACATGATTTTCAGTAATATTTTTTGTTTCTATAATGAATAATTCTTTTATTTTCAATGCAAAATTTATGCACTGATCCTCTAGGAGCTTCGGCTGGCAGGCTATTTGGCTAAACTGACACGGGTACCAATGAGGATGTTGCACAGGGTCCTGAATTTGTTGCTGCCCTCCAGCTCACAAAGTGAGATTCTTTCTGTCCTTGATTCAATCAGTAAATACTCAGATGGTGTTGCTGAAAGTGACAGTAATGCAGATGAGTCTGGCAGCTGTAAGAAAAGGTAAGCATGATATTTTTTGGTAGACCATTGCAAGAGAAGATTATTGCTTTGCATATGTGTATGTTTGCTGGACAAGCAGATTGACAGCAATATTAAAAATCACAGGTGCATAAGTTTCCTTTTGAAATATTTTTGTGGGGTAAAAATACTTTGAAAGTGTTACCTTATTTTATGAAATATTTAAACTATAATAAATTGACAAAAAGATAATACATTGTATAACTTTTGGAGTTAAGTGGTTGTTTTATAGATGTATAAATCTAGTTCTGATCATTTTCTTTCTCTTTAATTGGAGTTTATGAAAATATTTTGCTTCCAGCATTTGTATTTATAATATTCTAGCACACTTGATTTCAGGAGTATAGAACTCCTAATGATATAAAGGAGGTCCTTCTTTCTAATAATAAAAGTTTCAACCTTGCGCCTTTGTAGTTCAGTATAGAAGTCCCAAGTGGCCACTGGTTTACCCTCTACTCACGGAGAAGGTTCATCTCCCAAAGCCTTTATCCCTTCATTTTATCTCCATTAGCTGTGCAGCTAACATGGAGGTGCTCCCAGATGCTCTCTCCCAACTCCCTGCCATGACATGGGAAGGAAAGAAAAGCAGATGTTGTGGCATTGGTCCCTCTAGTTGTCAAACATGAGTTGTCAAGGAACAGATAAGGGTCCTTGGGACCATGCCCTGAGGTGTGATCTTAGCTGATTTAAATGATTTGTGGCAGGGCAGTAAGCAAATACTTGAATGCTCTTACTGACTGTACTCATGGTATTACTGTCATGGGTTTGGTAGCTAAAATTAGAAAGGGGAGGAAAGTGTGTTTATTTGGAGATTTGCTGCTGGGAATTTTTTCCTTTCCTACTCCTTCAGGAAGAACCAAGAGTTGTGGCAAGCACTGGAGAACAAATTAAGGCAAGATCTGATAAACAAAAGTCTGGAAAAATTCCCTTCTCTAAACAAGAGAAAAGACAGGTAAGGAGAAAACAGGAATAAACACACATATTTGTTTTTAATACTTTATTTAGTCTCCAAGGTTTCTCTTTTATCTGTTAGAAATCAGAATATAAGTTCATAAATGCACGTAATAAGCAGTAATAGTAAATGCCTAAAAAGATTTTTCTGTACATATGTACAAAGCTCACATATTTTTCATATGCACTGCCTGTCTTCTGTATGCTTATTTATTATAAGGCTAACTTTCCTTACGCAATTTTGTATCTCATAAAACAATATATGAATTATTTGGGATTGGAATGGAAATTACAATTCTGTCGGTTGAAATTCTGTTTTCTTTAGCTTCTGAAGTTGCCACTTCCATGTGAGGATATGACACAGGAAATTGTGCTTATTTTTGACCAAATTTTCTTTTTTTTTTCAATTTTTTTTTTTTTTGATTACTGTAGCTTGATAAAGAAGAAACAACTTGCCCTCTTGGAAAAAGCACCATTCATTCATCTTGGATGTTCACCTACACAGCCTGCTATGGAACGGACTGATCCACCTGGTTCTTTGAACACTACAACTGCTGAATCCATAGAGCTATTAGACACAGGGGAGAAGGTATTTTTGTTCCGTGGACCCAGTGATCCAATTCTTCCTTTGCACAATTCTCCAAGGAAAAAGAAAAAGAACTTTCTTAATTCCAAAAAGGCTTCTCATGCAAATACGGACCCATAGGACAACTTCCCTTCATAGTGTCAATGGGGAAAGAGTTATTAAGAGTTACTTAAATTCCATAAAATAATGAGGAAGAAAGAGTGCAGTTTAAATAACACATGCATTGCTTTAGTCTCATGTGTCTGACATTGTAAATAGCTGCAGTGTAGAATGGCGCAGTTAGCAGTGTACATTGTGCATTTTTTATTCTTGTCAGTATATGATGCAGTAGGTGTAATATGGGTGGTTTATGACACACATGCAGGCAGGCAGCGCTCTGTGTTCCTTCGGTACATTTTGACCATTTTTGCACTGATTTTACTGTAGTTGTACTTTTACAAGTTATATAGAAAAGTTATTTATTATGCAAAGTAAGTACTGATTCACTATTTTTGTATTTATATATTCTTGTAATAAGCTGTGGTATAGCAGGCGACATGAGGAGATGAAGTGGATGACCCACAAGTCCTCTGTTCACTGACTTTCTGCTATTCTAGCTAATGTACTGTTTAATGTGTTCTTAATAGGCTTTGAATGTTACTTCTGCAGTCTCTGTTCTTTAGTGTTAGCTGGTAGTCCAGCTCTTCAGCATATACATATGTACTTGGCCTTGCATCCTGGAGTAACTTCAGTTTTTCACTGTTGTTTCTGAACTTACTACAGTTGAGCTGTGAATGTGGCTACAGTTCAAAACTGTGTTAAATATTTGCAGCCTGTTGCAGTCTCTTTTTTTTTTGGTGAAATAGCATCACACTTGCTTAGTAGAAAAGGGAAAAATGTAAATGGGCACGGAAAACTTTCACAAGCTTTTTTGATTGCAGTGCTGCCAACTGTCACAATTTTAGGTGGGTATTTTTTGAAGTTTTTATTCCTGGATTTCTCTAAATCAATGAGGATATCATTTTGCATTTCAAAAAGTGTTCACTTTAAAATCTGTTGACAGAAAGAAGCCTGTACATATAAACCCTAAATACAGGAAAAGGCTAATTAAAAGAAACATGTATAATACCTCATTTTGATCAAGTCTGCTTGGAGGGATTTTTTGACTCTCTTTGAATCTCTCTGAGGGTGCTATGATTATATATTTTGCAATTTTTCATGTATGGTATTTCTGTGTCTTTGTATTAATAGTGTGCCAATTTCATTTTAAAAATTAAAATGTTGCAGTATATGTGTGTGTGCAGTTGGCATCTATCCCAAGTGGGAAAAACATGTATTTTTACCCCACTTCTTTTGACAAGTTTAAATATTCATCCCACAGTAAACAGCAAGCAGCGTTTCATATTGCTATTAGCAGTAGAAAATGTATGCAGTAATTAGCCTAATAATCCCAATTATTTTTTGATTGCATTCTTCAGTCTTTTCATAGAAGTCATTGCTCTCACAGAAAGGAGTCTGTCAGCATTGTAGGAGTTCAGAATCACTATGTTTTAATGTGTCTTATATGTTGTCCCCAAGCATGGGTGGGTAAAAGTAGAATCTGTCCTACCGTGGTGCTAGGTCAGAGCTGAATAGGAGGAGATTGGGGTGTTTCAGAAAGGGGTTTGGCCCTATGCAAGAAAACCCAGTAGGAAAACCTGAGCTGTGGTCAGGGCTGCAAGGAGTAATTAAATGCTGAAGAACCCTCTCTTGAATGTGAGTCTCCTGAGATTTCTTTGCAAGCCTGAACTCTAGGCTGTTATAATAGGAAAGGGAAATGACAGTACTGATCGAAGATAAAACACTGGTGCCAGTACCTTTAATCAGTTATAATAATACAATGCAAAAGCTGAATACTGGTTGCAATTTCAGTTTATTATCCTTAACAGATAATCTGTATGTCTAATACTAGAAGACTGATCTGTAACTCACACGCACCTCATCACAAATTTGAAGCAGCTCAGGTTGTAACTACTCTAGTAGGGAAAGGCATGCCCTGCTGTGAGTCAGTTTCATATAATTCAATACATATTCAAAGAAATGTCCAGATCTTAAAATGTCTTGTGCCTCATAAAAGAAGTACTACCTAGGTAATAGGCCACTTCAGTACAGAGTTGACTTACGTTTTGTTTTGAGTCATTCAGAGGACATAGGAGGGCCAGCTGTTGTGTGCAGTTCTGGATTCTGAATGTTATCCATATGGGACAAACTGTTCTTCATTCTCATTAAATCAACATCAGAAAGGGACACCTTGCAGTCTGGTTAAACCTCTTATTTTAAAAAGATACAGTGAAATTAAATGGATAAAAGAATCTGGTAAGGGTGCTAATATCGTGCTCATTATAGACTTGGGATTTCAAAGAAATACCTCACTTGTTTAGCCTTTTTTCTTACTGATCTCTATCTGGCTATATAATGCATTTTACTGAGATTGAAAGTACTGGAAATGAAGGACCCTCTAATGGCACAATTAATTGTGTTCCCCTGTAAATTCATTACTTCTCATCTTGTCCCTGACTGTTGACAGTGAACTCCCATCTCCATTACAGCTGTTGTCTCCCCTCAACCTGAAGCTGTTGACCAAGAAGCCAAAGCATACAAAGAACAAGCAAACATAACTATCCTTGGGCCATGATGCTTTAATCCACACAATAAAAACTGTCTTACTGGCAATGGTATAATTTATTGAAGAAATTACTCTCCACACTGGAGAATAAACTGTAGCTTTTTGTTATCATTTTTTCAACAATAGCTTAAGTAATGTTGCAGTCTGCACCCCGTGGACAGCATATCCCTTGTGCCCAGGGCACTGCGCGGGCACAACCTGGGCTTCTGGTTCAGGATTTTCAGGAGGCTTATTAGTAGTGCACAGGGTCCTTGACATTACCATTGGCCCAGCTTTCTGCTCATGGTGTGATCCCTTCTGCAGGACCATGTAGCGTTTGTCAAAGCTAGAAATGCTTTGGCAGGAGACAAAATGCTAGTGCCATATAAAGGCTCAGAAAATTATTTTAAGATACTTCAGCCCTTTTAAGATTAAATGGGCACTTACTGGAATGTTTAGTATTTTCAAGGTCCTCACTGTCCGTAGATTTAAACAGAATTAGTATCCATATGCTTTTGGGCCTGTGCAACTAATTGCAATGGGGTAAGTAATTATTCACCAGATTTTCTC